CAAGTCAATAAAAAAATTAGACATCTATATAGTGTGAATATAAGAGTTTGGTAAAATGTCACACCATGCATTAAAATTTCAAATACATTCTATAAATATTGTTAATCAACCTCTCTTTCAAAGATCATTTCTTMAGAATTGATGTGTGCTATGATGAAAACTATAATGAAGTGGATTAAAATTTTGGTTGTATTAAATGAATCTCCACACAAAATAATAATTATAACTTTCGTTTTTTCAGTTCAACAATATTTAGAGTGGAGATTTGAACTCTTAATTTTTTTGGTTAAGATTGATAGTCGAACCATGTCCAGATGGGTGAATAATCAAAACTTTAGATCTCATATATATTTTGATTTTGGACCCTAAGTTTCATTTTTATTGACGTTTATATAYTTTTGGGCAAAATACATTTTTGATCCTGAGGTTTGAGGTACGTGTCTACTTGGTCCCTAAAGTTTCAAAATCAATACTTTTGGTCCCTGAGGTTTAAGGTAGGTGTCTAATTGGTCCCTGAAGTTTCAGAATGTACAYTTTTGGTCCTTGARGTTTAAATTAGGTATCAAATTAGTCCCTGAAGTTTTAAAATGAACACTTTTGGTCCCTGAAGTTTGAGAAATAGTTCTAAATGGTCCCTCATTTTTTTTTACTTGTTATTAACTAATATTAAAATGTCGTGGCAAATTGCAATTAAATTGTTTATTGTAGTTGGTAATGTGACAAATTATATTAATTAAATAATATATGTCCGGTATGAATGGCGGACAGCGGCGACAAAGACGTGGTGGTCGCCGGAAAAGAGTAGGAGAACGAGAGAGGAAGAGATGAGGAGAGGAGAGAGAAAGTATCATCACCTACACATATATTATTTAATTAATATAATTTGTCAGTCATTTTARTATTAGTTAATTAACAGTAAAAAAAATCAGGGACAATTTAGAATTATTTCTCAAATATCAGAGATTAAAAGTGTTCATTTGAAAACTTGAGGGACCAAGTTGACACCTAATTTAAACCTCAAGGATCAAACATATTCATTTTGAAACTTCAAAGACCAAGCAGACACATATCTCAAACCTCAGACCAAGAGTGTTCATTTTGAAAYTTTATGGACCAAATAGACATCTATCTCAAACCTCAAGATCAAAAATGTATTTTGTCCTATATTTTTTARTTCAATGATATATAGAGGTAAAATTCGAAAGTCCTAAATTTTCAGTAGATAATATATATCTTAACTAGTCAGTGATKTTCACGTTAACATCAACTTTTATATCAAAATTTTAAACCATRACTATATTTGGAATTTTCACGAGGTTGAAAATCATATTTTATTAAGATTAACTTAAATGATTAAATAAAATTGTTTAAATAACATGTGTGGTTTATAGAATTATTAATACCCATCTGCACATTTTCCAACCTATTAAATTGGAGAAAGTAAATATGAAAAAGACGTAAATAGAAATTTTTAAATCCTATCTGAGGCAGAAATAAGAACACTTATTGAATTCTTCTTATACAATAACTACTTTTAATTTTAAAAAGTAACATAAGCTATTAATATTTTCAATCGTTATTGAACCATACTCAATAAAATGTTTTTAATAGATATTAAATAAGACTAAATGGTATTAATAATACGAGTCAAATGATTAACACATTAATTCGCCCACACACATTACATCAACTTAAAAAAATATTTGTTTGAAAAAAACTTTAAAAAATATWTTTAATTAGTGTTTAATAAAGAAATACGATTTTTTTTAGTAATCAACCATTGGTGGGATGGGGTTTGAATCTCTAACCGACGTTATAAAATATTCCATGTCTTAATCAATTGAGCTTATTAAACTGAAAATAGAAGATATGATAAAAATATTCACCGTGTGTTGTTATTATCAAGAAAGGTTTACACCTATAAATAACACGAAGTTAGAAAATTAAAACTAAACAATAGTTAAGGTATGTATTGAATGATTTTGACTTCATTGTTAAAATCATTCCTTTTTTCATTGATCATGTTTGGCAAATTGAGAAATTGATTTTAGAAAAGTTTAAAATCATTGAACAAATTGACAAAATATATTACATTACAAATTAGGAGAATCTTTCTTTTCTCATCTAACACTAATAAATTAAAAGACACTAATATCTGACAAATTCAACTGTGCTCAATCATAATAAACCTAATTCAAGACTATAAACTCTTTACTTTAAAATTTAAAATATGAAAAATATATTGAAGCGTGAAATTTGGTTCTTCACATGGACCGGTATGAAGTTCGATGATTTAAATTTTTTTTTTTGGTAGGAAACAAAGAAAAAAATAAAAGGGGGAGTATGAGGAAGGTGACATCTACAAAGTCCATCTTATTGTATTATAAAAATGAACAAAAACAAATAAGTCTCTCAATTTCGAAATACTACAAAAAGAAAACAACAGACAAGTCGAATTAGGATTATATGTTTGAAGTTTTGAACAAAATAGTAAATATTTGGAGGCAAAATGAATATGTGGTCGTGTTTTCTTGACCTCATTATTTGTGAGGAGTTAGGTTCGTCAAAATTGCAAAGTGAAAATTTGTGTCTTTTCTTGACCTCATTATAGATTTTGTCATTTATGATTCTTTTTAGCTCTCTCTTTTCTATTCGGTTGTATGACATTTCTTATATATGGTTTTTTTTTTAATTGTGGGAACATTTCTTATATATGGTTTTTTTTAATCGTGGGAGTGAAAATTTGAACTCATGACATTTTGGTTAGAAATTAGTGTCTTAACCAATCGAGCTATGTTCAGTTTGACAAAATAGGAAATTGAAAATCATAATCTAACTCGGCTATGTGTATTATATAATCCATTGTTTTTTGTTTCAACCTTTAATTTTGTATTATTGGTTGGTTTTAGTGCATTTAGGACCGTTTGTAACATTTCCATTTCTTGTTTATGTTTCCTTCTTTTTAAAAATGAAAAATAAAATTGCATGTYCCCAGCATAGAATGATAAAACTATATTTGTATTATATTTTGGAACAAATTGGAAATGGGAATAAGGAAGAAAACTTTGTTTTTGTTGTTTCTAAAATTTCTATATGATTTTTAGAATGTTTACAAAAAATGAGAAACAAGAAATATAAATAGTTGTCAAATGCTTAGATTTCGTAATAAAATTAGAAACAAGAACAAACACGTTACCAAACGGACCATTAATTTTCGATAACATATATTTAACAGAAAATATTATGTTTTAAGTATCATAGGGTGTGTTTTGAACCACATGTTTTGGAGCTGATATTGCAGCTTAAAAGCTTGTCACAAATGTCATAGTCGATAAGTTTGGTGCAATGGAATATAACAAACAAGTGACTTAGAGACCTTGGAAAAAAATGTGACTTGTTTTTAGACACCGATGTTATGTTAATTAAATGAGATTCAATGATGGAATTAGAATTTAGATCATAGCCACATATAGTAGAAAATGTTTGTGTGTCCCATCCAACATGTTTGGGGAAGGGAATACCCTGGACACGTGGAGGACCCCCATTGGTGAGTCATCCCAGCTCGGATAGYCGAGATGCCTACCACCAACGCCGACAAAAGCTAAGTATGAGGGCCGAGGTGAACCTGGCCCAGGTCCGACCTACCGGGGAGCTCGGTAGGGGCCGATGTGAGCAACTGTTTGCGGCGTGATTATCGGGCGTAACCGTCGGTCCCGAGATCACCGGGTGTAACCGACGGTCCCGAGATTACCGAATGTAACCGTCACGAGATTAGCGGGACCACCACCTATAAGTGGAGGACCTCACTCCCCGATCAGGTACGATGATTTCTGGCCTCAAACTAGACTTGGAATCCGACCTATACTGACTTGATCGTCGGAGTGCTCACCTTTTTGTGCAGGTCCGCCCAAGCTTTCAGGTCGGTCCGGAGGCCGGGTTCGAGCTACAACCAGGAACACACTGTTGTGCAAATCTTTGCATAAACACAACATGTGATAACGGGGAAGATTAGTTGTAGTAAAACCTTCATGGTTCGGTCATTGGATGTTAGTCGTAGGTGTCTTTATTCAACCATGTGAATTCAGTCAATAATGACATATCTTAGTTTGTTTGACTAACGCGACTCAGTGACGTATCATCTTAGCTGCCACATTCATGCAAAAAGATGAATCAAAGTGCTATTATAGGGTGGTAATACGTTCGAATTGATGTACTTTGAATTGAATGTAGAGATATGTCCAGGATAGGTATTCATATTCAAAACATAAGTACATGATTGAAATAGAGAGTTGGTGGTGTATAGTCAGTTTGAGTATGCAAACGAAATTTGGCAGTGTGAGACAATAATTATTTCAAATGTAATACAACATTTAACTATAATAATCGAAATGAAATTTTATAATAGTTCAATTACTAAAACTTATGATGCAAAAGCTTAAAAATCAAAATGAAACAAGTATATGATAAGAGTTAACCCATTTGAGGTGATCTAATAAATGGTATTATTTTTAAGAGAGAATTTCTAAATTAATTACTAAAAATTTATAAATCTTTGACCATACGTAGGTGTAAATAATTCAAGTCATACGATCAACTTAAGCATAGTTGAATAGATTAAGACATTTATGTCCGATAAGAAGGTCGTAATTAGGTTTCTATTTGGTCCTAAGTTTCAAAAAGTAATAGTTTGGTCTACGACCTTTAGAAAATAATTCTAAAAGTCCTTGGGTTTAAAATTTCATTTGTGACACTAACCAAATGGTGACATGGCGATGAGTTGGTAATTTTAATAATATATAAAATAACAATAAAAAAGTCCTATGGGCTGCAATATTAGTATGGCCCAAACAATCAAGTGGGCAGGGCCCACAGCCTATGGCGGTTGGAATTTATTTGCAAAATCACTCCATTTTCCCGTTCCTAATTTCTAGAATCAAATTCTGCAGCCCCAAATTTCTCGTCTTCCCTCCATTTTTCTTGCAGAGGAACCCTAATTTTGTTTACATTCTTGAGATTTAAGTTTCAATTCTTACTCTCTCCCCACAATTACTCTCCTGCGTCGCTCTTCTCCGTTCTGTAGATCGTTGGACCTCTTTCTCGCCTCTGTTATTCTTTTCAGTTGAGCTTCCTCATCTAAACGGTAAATTCTGGATTGATGCAAGTATTCTGGATGAGATTATAAAGAATATCATGGGTGAGAAACCGATTGATGGATACTAAATTTTGCGGCGAGGGTTGGTTTGCTATCATTGAAGATTTTTGTCTGCATTGAATAATTAGGGGTTGGAGCTTGAACATTGAACATTTAGACATATTTGCCACCAAAAAAAATAAAAAATTCGAATTATAATTATATCAACCTAGATTATTGGACATGCTTAGAATGTCGAACGTTTAACATCGTAGATTTTCGATGTTTAGCTTCGATTTTTTTAAGGTTTTCAAATTATAATATCAACCTAGACTGGTGAGCATGCCAGTTAATTTTTATCATTAACTTGATTGTGCAAATCAGCCAGTGGATGGATAACTTTCTAGTGAAACTTATAATGGGTGTCCTAGTTTAAGGAATTGTTGATCATATGTTTAAAAGGAAGAACACATTTCAACTTTTGTGCAACACGTGTATTGTTTCACTATTTAGAGCAGAAGAGGTGAAAAGACAAAATGTTGCAGGATGTATAAGCCTTTCCTCCTAACACCTTGTGAGGATTTGAAACTTCAGATCAAAGCTTGTTGAGAAGGAATAAGATTGGACTGGCTCTGGGCCTTGGAACGGTCGTAGGCGACTTTGGGTATCGGGGAGCAAACTTCTAAACTCCAAAAGAAGAAAAAATAAGATTGGAAGGAGAAGTAGAATTGGCTTTTGATTTTTTTCCTTTCACATGTTGGAAGATTCCCAAGGAGTATCTTTTAATTGAGTTGATTGTAGTTTTGGTTGCATGATGATGTTTAGTTAACTTTGTATCCAATAAGTTTAGCATTGCATATTTTGATTTTAGTCTTGGGCCCTTGGCAACATATACTTACATCTAACACACCAATCACATTTTTATGAAATTTTATTAACTAGCTCGTTTGATAACTATTTTATCATTTGTTTTTCACTTTTTAAAATTAAACTTGTTAACACTACTTTCATCAATGCATTTCTTTGCTTTTTGAAATTTCTCTCTTTCCAAAATCCAAGTGAAATTTTGAAAACTAAAAAATAATTTTTACAGACTTGTTTTTGTTTTAAAATTTTGACTTAAAAGTTTAAATGTATTTTTAAGAAAGGTGAAAACATATTAAAGAAATGGTCGTCAAACAACCATGATTTTTAAAAATTGAAAACGAAATGGTTAGCAAGTAGGCCTAAATGTTTTTCGGTTTTCAAGTAGGTGCTGAACTTGCTGGGATAGACACATGGACTTGGATCATTATGCCGTTCTTGGGTTACCTTCGGGTGAGGAAGATGCCAAGCTCACAGAGAAAGAGATATCTAAAGCATACAGAGCAAAGGCTTTGGAGTTGCACCCTGACAAGAGGCCCGATGATCCAAATGCACATGAAAATTTCCAAGCACTGAAGTCATCCTATGAAATTCTGAAGGACGAGAAGGCAAGGAGATTATTCGACGATCTTCTACGAGTTAAGCGCAAGCAGCATCGTCGACAATCTGAGTGTGACTCTAAGCGACAGAGAACGATGACCGACCTTGAAGCAAGAGAACGAGCTGCATTTGATCCTGACCCTGCTACAAAAGATCAAGAAGAAGAAGAAAAAATTTCGAGGAAGCTTAAGGAAGAGATAGCAAGAATTCGAGCTATGCATGAAAGGAAAGCAGCACCTATCCCATCTGCAATGAAGCAGGGTGACGAGGAGTTAGAAAGCCGTAAATTTGGTAGTGCTGGGCTTGCATTGGGTAAAGAGCGGATGCTTAAAGTTTCTTGGGATAAGACCGGTGAGGATTACACAGCAGAGAACTTGAGAGAGTTATTTTCAAAGTTTGGTGAAGTTGAAGATGTAGTCATTAAGCATAACAAGAAGAAAGGTTCAGCCCTTGTTGTGATGTCAACTAAAGATGCTGTTGTAAGTATTTTAAGTAATTTTTTGTTTCCCTTTGTACTTTTATCTCATTTTCTTTTTGTTTTATCATAACCAAAATTGATTATCAATTTTATTTAGCCCCCGAGGATGGCCCGTTGACCAACGCCCGTGGTCTCTGAGTAAACATCGCGTGTGCTAATCTTCGAGTAAGCTTAATAAGGAAAAACACTTGATATCTACAGAGTCTTTAATATCTCCAGGACCTTGGGACAAGGCTTGGACTTCTTTTTTTCGGAAAAAGAAATATCTATTTTATTTCTTAGTACTTGGGTGTTAATATCTTGCAGATTGCCTCTACAAGATCTGAATTTGGCGATCTTTCTAACCCTTTGCTAGTTTTACCACTTCAACCCCTTTTCGAAACCAAGATGCCTGATGCTGAGAGACCACCGGATCTTGGTCAGAAGAATAATTTGGTGGGAGCTGGTTATCAAGCATTTGAAGACAGTATCTTAAAGAAACTCCAAAAGGTATTCTCGTCTGCCTTCCAAACCTTCTATTATGCCTTTTTCTATTTTTTCCCCCTATTTTCTATGCCCCTTATAATCTGTTGATCACAATAGGCTGCTGAGAAGCAAAAATCATAAGCTTAGCATTGTCTAGAACAATTGTAGCAGATGAGTTGTGATCATCCTATAATGAAAATTGAGGTAAAAGAACATTTGCTTGCCACATTTTTGGCAATTGGTCTTATCTTTTCCTAGGAACACCTATTCCTTCACTGCCATCTCACTTGGAATCTATCTTCTTGTTGTTCAATGGCTTCAGCACAACCCGGTGTTTCCCATAATGTTGAGCAGAAACCTAGTCCTCTTGGTTTGTCAGGTATCGAAGTTCTTGCTCAAGAGAGGCATGGCTCGAAAGTAATCATATGAGGCTCTTTAAAGATAGGGATCAATTAGAAGATGAGATATATGAGAGAGTAGATTATCTATGGCTTCTTTGGCCCCTCTTCTTTTGCAATCATGATTCCATTTTGGCCAACTGGAGGAATCCTTATCAACCCTTGTACTTGGTATTTTTGTGGATTGAATGTTTTGTTTACTATGAAAAGAAGTTTGATTCTGTAGCCACGAACAATTCAGTTACTGGAGAAAATGAAATGAAGAATAAGAACACTTGCTGTTCTGATATGTTGTCAAACTAACTTCAGGTCCAAAGCTTTTATTAAGCAATGATGTTACTTGAACATGATCGGTTCAATAGATTGCACTACCATGTCCTTGTGTCCTTCGATGTATTCCCGAGTATCACGTGGTTCTTGAGATTGGGTACTAGAATGAATGAATGAAGTACATACGAAGTAGTCATACGAAGTAGTCATACGAAGTAGTTGGTCGGGTCCTGTTTCAATTATAACAGAGATGAAGACAGCACACCATCAGATTGCAGTATGTGGAAATCTGTATCCCGAATGTTGGAGCCAGTCAGGAAGAGATGCAGGTGTATATTGCTTCTAGTTTCACTGAGACAAGCTTTCAAAGTTCAGGAGCCATCCTGAAACTCAACAAAAATTAATAAACAGATAAAAGGGGAAGGGATGACAAATTTTGCCTTCTGCTTCGAGAAAGTTGTCCGTATGTGTCAAAAATCATTTAAGACAACATTTTATGGTTGTTCAAGACCTTTGTTCTCTACTCGGACCCGATGAAAAAATGGGATCACCTACCATTCCTACAGCTGCACAATTTCAAAGAGAGAGCTTACTTTTTGTATTACCTTTCTCCGAACACATCTCCAACTACATTAATATACCAAGAACTTTCACTCTCGGCCACCAATTTGAAAATGGCAAAGCAAAGTTTTACTTCTGAGAATCCATTATAACAAGAAGTGAAAACTAGCAAAATCTATTATGTGCTTCTTCTGAGAACTAAAGTCAAAATGTAGCTGAGGGCCGAGTCCACTGATGAGAGTGCCACAATCAACAGTGCAACGAGAACGAGTGTTAATGTAGCAGTCTTCAGCTGCACACACACAGGAGCAAAAGTAAAATCTTACACACCAAAAAAAAAGGTTCAGAGGGAATATCCAGTGAATCGCCATAATAAATTAAGTTGTTAACATACTAATCTTGCCTCCATACCGTGCTTTGAAAGCTAGGCCATTCTATGTACTTCAGTTGACTGGGCTGCTCCACCAGAAATATCAACAACGATCTCAATCCCCTGAAGTTCAAAATTACAGCATCCTAAGCTCGATGATCGAAAATTCATGATGCAGATGGAGAAAGAGTTGCGGAGGGTTTACCAAATGCCTTCTCGAATTAGACTCAACATGAAAGGTTCTGGAGGATATTCCTCATTGAAGTTCAGTTGGTGATTTTCTCTTCCAGATGCAGCATGGTTAAAGCTCATTCGACCAGCATAGAGATGTCCACTCCTCCTGGAAATCTAAAGTAACAAACCCAATGTTGAAATTATTAGATTGAAAGAGTAACTACATCCAGAAGTTTCGAAGAATGGAAAATACCCCTTTGGGCAGTTTTTGAAAATCATTGGACTTGTTGAATCTGGGTGTGTTTATATGTAGAATGTGGAGTGGTTGCTTGGGATGAGGAGAGCAAATCATACCTATGGATTTAAGAACAAGAAAACGGGAGAAAAATTAAGCAAACTCACTATTGTAATAGTAATAAAAATGTCTTATGAGAGAAAAATGGATTGACCAATGTGATTAGCCCCAAGTGCAGAAGCAATCGCCATCCTGGAGCAAGAGTTCAATCACGCCCACTGCAGCAAGAGAGAAAAAAATGCTTACTACAGCTCGATACTTAATCAAACAGTTTTTTCCCCTTCTAATAAGATGGATTACGGAACTTTGGCTCTAAAAGTAGAAGGCATTAAGAAACCCTATCGGAAAGCATCATAATTAATGAAAAATAACATAATCGTTGTAGAAGACATAACCCATAAGGGAGAACGGAAGAGTATCAAGTACTTGTTCGCTAGGCATTTTGACAAACACAACCAGCGCAATGTGGGATATCGGAAGAAATTTTGGTAAAATAATCCAAACTAACTCTCTGCCGCAGCGTTTCAACTTTTCATGTGCGAGTGGATAGTTCACTCTCGTGAATCCAACATTTTTCGTTTATTGTACGCAAACACAGCAGCGGAATTTTTGAACGACGAAGCGATATGAGCTTCTACTCGGTCGGCAGCCCCTGGCGCGCAGCAACAGGAGCACGACCAGAAGGGGATTTGAATAAGCAATAAACCATTCGTGTAATGAAATCCGAACTCAGAATTCGAGCAAGGAGGAAGATTCATGGTGGAAAACGTACCTGGAAAATTTCAGTCTTCTTAGTTCGTATGCGCACGGGGTGACGCAACTGGAAGGGACGCCCCCCAAGAGAAGTGCAAACGGTGGAGTTGGGTGAGGTCCTCCCAATCTCCTTTTATATCGGAACATTTTAACCAAAAAAAAATAAAAAACTTTTAAATTTAAAACCTATTAAATGTTTTTTTGGTACAACGGCTGGGATTTGAATTCATGACCTCTTGATCAGAAATAAATACCTTAACCACTTGAGYTATGTTCGGTTTGACATTATCACTATAAATTGTAAGGGACTAGAGGGAAAGACTAATATAGATTAGTTGGAGTCAATAAGRGTCAATGCAAATAGTAAAAAGTTTATAGTGAATGAGTTTAAACTGTAGCGGTCGTCTATTTTTTATTTAATATCCTACGAGTTCTTGCACTGCGGAACAATGATTGTCAGTGATTATGATTTCGGTTACGACGACAAGGTTCTCTTTGAGGAGATCTACTTGGTGGGCCTTCTCCTCTTAGGGGTTGATTACCTTCTAGAAATTGAATACCTATGCAACTTGGCATGAAGGGCGAATGTTTGAGTTGGATTGTGAGAAATGATAAAAGGAGATAAAATCATCGTGAGTTGAAATTCTACCTTAAGAGAGAACAAATGTAAAATACATAAAATTGATGCCCATGTGTGAGGGATGGTTCATATCAGCAGAGAAGCGAACGAGATTTTGCGAATAAGGTAAGGGATGATGAATTAATGAAACTATGGAGTGGTTATACTCCAATTTGAATGAAACTCTAGTTTATCGTGAACTTATGTCGGGTTAATGAATATTTTTTCTTCTAAAAAATAAAATATATATACACAAAAGTAGAGAAAGACAGACGAGATAATAGTTAATATGACATCCATGAATATTATGATAACAAAAATATAATATCTATTGTCCTTAATAACCATTACATGCATGTTTTAAATATTTGTATAGTTTATTTATGGTATGTAAAACTAAGTTGTAGTGCCTCGTCCAACAAGTATTCAATAATTTATCACTTGCATTGTTCGTTGATTTAGTTGACACTACGATGATACAGTGATGTTTTAAAATTAATTGTTGAACATCCTAATTGTGAATTGAATGTTAGCTACGAATAAATATTTTTAGCTTAAATTATGAAGTTTGGGTGTTACATTTGATAATGTTGTTTTGGGTATATGTGTGAGCGTTGTTTGGCTATCTCAATGGAACTACTTAGTGATTATTTGACATGATATAATAATGAGATGCAAACATGACATGTTGAACATTTTCAATCACGAACTTATTATAATTTAGATCAAAACTTGCCATGAAACTTCATAGATTAAATTGAGACAACAATCAAATTATCTAACCTATACAAATTCAGATATTATAAATTTTGTAAAGAAACAAATAGTGCAAGACTTTGTAATGTACCATTAATCTCTCTGCCTAATATAAATATAAAATAAGTTTAAATACTATTTTGATMGAAGAACTTTTAATTTTGGTTCAGTTTGATTCGCGTGCTTTCATGTCTATCTTGACTTATATACTTTTGATTTTTGCTCATTCTAATGTACGTATTTTAACTAACATGAGCTTAGTTCAACAGATTAAATAATTTTGTTACCAACAAAAATGTCGTGATTTCGAATATTTATCCCACATGTTGTATTAAAAAACACATATAATTTGTAATTTAAAAAAATATCTTACTCGCTTTTCAGAGGTTGAGGTTCAATTCTCTATCCTCACATTTGTTTGAGTTGAGACATGGTACTCATTTTCTAGAGGTTAGATATTAAATTATCCATCTCTATATTCGTTGTACTTAAAAAAAAAGTAGTAAGCGAAATGTCATCCTAAATTTGAAAACGAAAGAAAGATTAAAATAGTAATGTTTGTAAACATATTTGTAGAGTTTCTATAAAATTTATATTTTATATGAAATGTCATACGAAATATGTAACGAAAGATTAAAATAGTAATTTTTTAAAATATATTTATAGGGTTTTTACAAAGATTAAAATAGTAATTTTTGTAAATATACTAAATTTGAGGCGTTGGTTGAGCATGGGTCATCCGGATTAATTTTTGGTTCACTCCAAAGTCGAAAATCTCCAAATTTGAAAACTGACGGTCTACCTATCGAAATTGTCGATTTGATCAGTTAAGTTGTCGAAAAATCAACTATGTATTTTTTTTAATTCCTTTTTTTAATTTATTCACATTTTTAAAATTATTTTTATTCAATTTCTCTGATATATACTATTTTTCATTATTATTACATTCTAGTTTAAATTCTCTTGCATTGAGGGTGAGAGTTTCAAACCTAATGTCTAAAAACATACAAATAAAACCAAAAAAATAAATTTAATAGGTATATTATTGTCAGTTGGTGGGTCAAAATTTGGGGGTGTATGACAGTAGACTGAATGACTTGTTGATTATGAAAAATCGGAACCTATGATCAAACTAACAGACTAAGGAACCGGCCCACCAACGCTGGTTTGATTGGTTTCAATCAGTCGAATCAGTTTTTTGGTCTCTTTACTCACCCCTACTGTTGGCATTCTGATTCCACATTTAATTTCATTTTTTTGTCTTGAAATATTTTAATTGTAATTTGATCCTTCAATTTAGGGAGTTTTATCACCCTGTTTTTGTCAAATTATCAACTTGAGCATAGTTGAACTTACATATATCCAACAAAAAAAAATCGTTATTTTAATCAAAATTCAGAAAGTATTGGACTAGAATAGGGTTTTTATACATATAAAATAAACAAATTGAACTTTATAATTCGAGCTAAAAACATTGACTACTACTCCAAGCAAAAACTAAAAGCGAGTCTTTGGGCTGGATGGGCTTTCAGCGCATAATCAGAATTCAAAACCCAACTTCCGAACCTAACGTGTATTGTATTGTATTCCCGAAAGGCACAGCGCCCGCCTGCGCGCGGTGAAAAGCTTCAATCCAATTATCCTCATATCTCGGGTTTTTGGCGCTCCTGCTACGGCGCCTGGAGGCTGCAGCCATTGACCACGCCTCAAATTTTGCTCTCACCGTGAAGGTAATTCCTCAGTTCCATGAAACCACTGTGACAACGGCGGCGAACTGGAACGAATTCTTTGGCATTGAGAGCTGAAAGGACTCCACTCCGTTCTTTAATTAGGGCTTCGTATATGTATTTTTTCAATTACTGTATCGTCTCATGTCTTTGGCCGTCGGGATTCAGCTTACATTTCAGGACTAGGATTAGCAAGTTGAGTTGATTTCTTGTTTAGGTGGAGGAAAATATGTTATGGAGTCGGTGTATGGTTGTGAGGTTATTGAGAACTAACATAATTGTTGCTCTATAGTTTTTTTTTTTTTCCTTTAATTTTTGAAGTTTTTTGGTTGCAGGTTTTCACAGTTTTGGAGATATAGTTTTGCATTGCTTGCTTTAAAGAGAGTAGTTATGGATTTTGACGAGTATGATTATTTAGAGAAAACAGTTGAAAATCCCGAGGGACAGAAGGTGAAGGAAACTGCCAATGGCGGTGATGCAGAAATGAAGTCTGGAGATAAACATCGTAGTCGAAGTTCAAAGTATAAGAGTGATGGTAAAGATGATGGGGAACATAGGTCAAAGCGTTCGAAGTCAGAGGACGAGTCACGTGATCATGATCGACATAGAGATAGGACATCTTCGCAGCACAGGTCAAGGTCTAAAGATAGAGACCRTGATCGACGCAGGAGCAGTAAAGAATATAGGGAAAAAGAGGACAAAGAAAGGAATCGGGAAGAGAGGAGCAGTAAGGACAGAGATGTGGATAGAGACCGAGACCGTGGTCATGATCGTGATAGAGAAAGTAGACGAGGTAGAGATGGTGAAAGGGATAGGGAGAGAGAACGGTCACGCCGAAGTAGAAGTCATTCGGAAAGACATTGCAGTGATCGGGATGAAAGCATAAGAGAGAGGAGCCGAGATAATGAATTCAAAGAAAGGGAAAAGGAGAGAGAGACAAGAGAGCGAGGCAGAGATGGCAGGTATTTTGTACATTTGTTTTCTTGTATCATGTTTTTTGGTATTCAGAAGAAGAGAGAGCCAAGATAGCTATTCACATTGCTCCGATAATAACCTGCATAATATTTATAACTCTAACACAGACTATAATGATAAAACTCTTCCACTGAGTTATTTAAATTTGCATGTTATGTTGGTTGATTAATGTTGTGCTGCTTTGCTACACTTTATGATTTGGACTAGATTTGACTCATGATCATTCTAAATGATGGTTGATGACGTTTTTTCATTGTTAAGGAAAAAAAAAACTCTTTTATAAGTTGCATGATCAGGAAATGGTCAGTGTGTCTGAGTCATATTACTGTCTAATTGCTTCCAGGAATAAATAATCCTAACACTTGGCTTGTAAGGGTTGTTGGAAGTCTCTTTCCAATGATCCAATCTCTCCCACTATTCTCAACACATCATCCATTGCGAACATAAATTTTCACGAGATCCGAAACCAAAACCATATAATGAAGACCTCATTTTGAAAGGTGAATCATGATTTAGTAAGCTATGATATAGGCTATAGCCAATGGGAGAAGTTTGTCCTGAGAGTTCTTGATGTAGTTTGAATAAACTTGTGTATTTTCAATTGCGGCACATCATGGTATATGGAATTTTAAGGATATATTTGTCCCCTAATTCCTACTAGCTTATTTTGATTGTTAATCATTTCTTTTATAAGCGAACTTCAATTGGTTTTGGTATGAAATGTGGAAGCACATGTCCTTGATAAGGCTTTGTCCATTTATTTCCTGATTAAGTTTTATAATGTCGATAGATGGAAGTTTATCCAATCCACGTAGTTTGCAAGTTTCTAAAGTTTTCTGGTTTTTCAGAATTTCTTGTACATTCATAATTCTTAGCTAAGCTTAGCAATTAGGAAACCTCAGATGTTGAAGAGTGTCTGTTGGCTGTCAACTTAGCAATTTTTATGGCAGATGAATTCAAGCCATTTTTGGTGTTCCTGCTAATCAACTAAGAAGTTTTCATTGGAGAATGGAGGTCATAAATAGTGGTGGTGACATGACATTCTTTCACCATCTCAACATTGCAATCCAATATTTAATTTTTATCTATTCTATTGCAGAAATGCTGGTGAGGGAGTTGTGGGCTTTTCTTAAGAGATGAATTCCATCTTCTGATGCTTGTGGGAAAATCAATATTCAGTGGCTTCTGGATTCTCACCATACATGAAATTATATTTTTTTTTTGGATGATTGTCTGTCTATACGTTTAAAGATTTTTAGATTCATGGTTAATGGTATTTTTTTATTTAGTTTTATTAATGATTGTTGCAGAATTTATTAAAATTGTTTTTTTTTCTTAAACACTGATTGTGATCATGTTTTCTCCGTCTACATATAGATATTCTCAACTCCATTTTTTCTTTTTGATTTTTTTACTACTACAGTTTTTCCCAAGGTAAACTTCAGAAAATCTTGCAGTTATTTGACTGTAAGTTATTTTTGGCTTTATCTTGGTGCAAAGTAAATCCTTTTTACAGTTTAAATTCTCTCACATCCGACTGGAGAAGTTTTTGTAACTTCAATGGATAGGGTCTTTTTTTTTTTATATTTCATACTATTGATGAAATTCTTTTCCTATCCCCCCAAAAAAAAAAATTGACTGTAAGTTTTGAGAATAAGTTGTTCTTTATCACCAATATCACTTATTCAGGTTGCATATTCACTAATCACTGCTTCCCATGTATACTCCAGTTTATGCTTTACATGTAGTATCGTGTAAATATGAGAGTCTTATAATTTTTTCTTTCACCATTTGTGTGGTTATTCCTTTCTCTGGAGTATAAGCTTTTAACGTGTTCTGTGTTGATGCAATTAGGTTCTTTGCTACTGCATCAATTCAACTTGATCACGCTGTTGTCATTTAAGATTTTGTTATTTATGGAAGGTACAAAATCTGTGGTCAATCCATTGTGTGACTATTTTGGTCTGATTCTTAACTTTCCCATAGTTCCACTGTATGTCCCATCTTTCTTTGTCAAATTTGTGGAAAGGGATTTTTCCAATCTCTCTGTTGATTCTAAGCTTATTAAATGCCTATTGGAGTTTGTAACTCGATAAGCGTTTCGTTAAAAGTGAAAAGATGTGTGTTCTGGATTGTTCTTTTTTGGTTGTCATCATCAAGGGTGTAATTATATCATCGTATTTTTCTTTGTTTCAATGAGTGTTTTTTTTCACCCTTTCTAATGGGGTTGTTTACAGTTTACTTATGGGTGGTCTATCATGAATTGATTGTGCATTTGAAGGGTGCAGTTATAACTTGGCCAGCTAATAACAAAGGATATCTCTAACCAATGTTTTTTTCCCTCCCCACAGAAGATATAAAGAGAAAAAGGAAGATGGAGCAGAGCCGGAAGCTGATCCTGAAAGGGATCAGAGGACTGTATTTGCCTATCAGGTAAACCTTCTAATGGGACACAAGATATTCCAAGCTTTTGTTTCTTAGTGCAAATAATGTTCACTGACATTTTGTGTGAGTTCTTGGCCAGATATGTTTAAAGGCAACTGAAAGAGATGTGTACGAATTTTTCTCCAGGGCTGGTAAGGTTTGTATGCACATCATATGGTTTATACCGCGTTTTCAGTTACTTTAAAACTTTTCTTAAGATAAATGTTTGTAATTGATCAAACAAGTGTGGTCTATTTGACTCCCTATTATATAGGAATTAGGAAGCTTTGGGTACTTTTTTTCTATGTCATATATTGGATAGTAAAATATAAGATTAATCTAAGTTATCCATAGAAATTTTACTTCATTAACATTTTTTTTTTGTTTAGTTGCTCCTCATGTATGGTATAAGGACTTTGGTTCTCTGTGATAAATATGCTCAATATAGAATCTGTTATTATGGGGTGGGAGAGGTGGTTATATGACATTGACAATTCATCCTTTCTATTTTCTATGATTTCTAATTTTAGGACCCCTCCAACATTTGTGCTAGTGTAGAGAAAATTATCAAACTTTCTGTCAGAAGGTGTAGGGGAAGGTGCGGGTTCTCATCTTGTCTGGTGGGGGATCTGTCTTTGAAGTTTTTGAAGGGAATACAAAACAAAAACCCAGCAAAAGGAGCCACCCATAAACTAAACTAGCTATTAACATAATGACTCCTATCTAATAGAACAAGACCTAAAGGATAGTTAAAAAATTCCTTAGAAACATACGTTCGAGATATGTTAAATCAACACAAGACCACATCTCATCCCAATACTTCTCAATCCCATTAAAATTATTTTGTTCCTCTCAAGTCAAATCTTCCACGAAACAAGAAAGAAAGTAGAATGCCAAAAGGATATGCTCCTTATCACAAAATGGGGGGATGGAAGAGCACCTTCTCCATCAAACAACACCCTGTGTTCTGGGAGGTCTGTTTTTAAAGTTATTGAGGATGATGGGTTAGGTTTTGGGAATCTACAACACCCTGTGTTCTGGGAGGTCTGTTTTTAAAGTTATTGAGGATGATGGGTTAGGTTTTGGGAATCTAGCATCCGATGTGGCAGTTTCTCTTAGAGCTTGATTCATTGTGGCATAAAACTATAGTGATTAAATTCATTCGATACACCAATGGTAGGATTATGGCTTTGTGGGGATTGACACTTCTAGGAACTTGGGAAAGCTATTTAGTGATGTTTGTCTTGTTTTCTTGTGTTAAATATATTGGTTGGTGAAGGATATTTGATATGTTTTTTGGAGGATCTTTGCGTTGGTTGTAGTTTTCTTCATCTCCTTTCTTCTCGTCTTTACTCTATTGTTACTAAGAAATTTGCTCCTGTTGGTTCCTTCAATTATTTCACTAAGCACTCGCTGTCTTTCAATTTCTACAACGAAAGGTCTTGTTTTACAAGGTATCTGGCTGAGTTGGTCGCTTGGTTTTTGTCCTTCATTGTTTAACATTATTCCCTGGTTGAAAAGATTGTAACATTAGGTCTCTTGAATCTTTTGATGTCTATTCATGTTTTTTTTTTTTTTGGCGTTCATCTTGTCTGTTCTTCACATCAGACTCACTCCCCTTTTAGGCTTTTACCCAAGCTTTGGAAGGTTAAAGTTATGAAGAAAATCATATTTTTCTTCTAATTGGTGGCACTATAGAATTAACACTATGGATTTCATCTAACAGTCTTACTCCTTTGTGCTTGGAGTTCCAGTGGCGTGTTCTCTGTAAGCAGGCCTTTGAGTACTTTGATCATATTTGTTGGAGGTATTAGTTTGTTAGAAAGACTTGATGGGGCTTTTTTAGGTTTTTGGGGTGGCCTTCGTTTTTGAGCAATTCTTGTTGCACCCCATTTGGAAAAAAATGATTCTTCATCCTCCTTTCATAAGCAAAGGGATGTTTCTATGACATGCAAGCGTCTTGGCAGTTTTATGGAATTCTGGTCAGTCATCAGAAGGAATGGAAGGGTTTTTACGGGTGTATAAAGGTGTTGTGAGTTTGAACTCTTTTAATGCCCTTTGTCTGGGCTGTCAGATCCATATATTGTTATGTGATATCCCCTTATTTTATTATATAATTTTAAAATTCTATTCTCAGTAGTTGGAGCTTTTTCATGTAAATTTTTTAATGGCTCCATTTTTGCTTCAGTCATTATTTTTCCTGTGTTGTGAGTTTGTTTTGAGTTGGATTTTTTAATGCCTTCATCTGGGCTGTCAGGTTATTTTTTGTGATATTTCTCTTTTCTTAGTTCCTGATGCTATTTCTTGTAAATTTTATACTGGCACCATTTTTGGTTGAGTCCTTATATTTGATAGTATCTGAAAGAAACTTTTGAAAATAACGTTTGTTGCTCTCTTGGCTGGCTGTGGTCTGACCCTTATTGTTCCTCTCTCCGTCTCTCCGTCTCTCTTTTTCTTTCTTTTTTTTTTTAATTTTTTATAGAAAGTTTAGATTCTTCTTATTGAAAGTTCAGTTCATTATATCTATAAGAAGGAAAGAAGTTTCACCAACCTAGCAAGTCATTTTGCTGTCCATTTTTTTTTTCCGTTTGTTTTCAGTAATCGTCTTCGTTATGTATCTCCCTTATTGATGAATCACAACTTACAGGTGCGAGATGTGCGACTTATAATGGATCGTAATTCAAGGCGTTCTAAAGGTGTTGGGTAAGATTAATGTTCTTGATGATTTTCACTTGGATTTGATGTAATAGCCATCAGCAGTTTGTGTGGTGTGTTTTCAATGATTTGATTCTGTGAGAATTTGAAGCAATTATTGACTGTTTCAAACTCAAGCTGGTTTCTTATGAAAAGAACAGTATTATGGTTGCTGTTTGTATGTGTAGTTTATTCTTTCTTTTCCTTGGATTTAATATCGTTCCTATATGTGCAGGTATGTTGAATTTGTAGATGCTATGTCTGTACCCATGGCTATAGCACTTTCAGGCCAGCCCCTGCTTGGTCAACCTGTTATGGTAAAGCCATCTGAAGCTGAGAAGAACCAGGTTCAATCAACTTCTGCTGCTGGTGGAACAGGTGGAGCAATGGGTCCCTACTCTGGTGGTGCTAGAAGGTTATATGTTGGCAATCTGCACCCCGAAATAACAGAAGATATGATTCGTCAGGTTGGCATATGAATATCATGGGGAAATATGTTACACAGTCCTAATAATTCTGGGAGGCATATGTTACTGGAATGAATTCTGTTACGTGAAAATACCGTGTTCTTTGAAATCTTTCAGATTTAATTTCGTCTGTCAATTTCTATAATTTTTCCGTGTAATGTTAGTGCCTTGCTTGGATAAGATGCTTGCCTTTCCTCTTCTTCCAGGTTTTTGGATCTTTTGGCACTGTGGAGCTGGTTCAGATGCCCCTCGATGAAACTGGGCATTGCAAGGGTTTTGGATTTGTTCAGGTGAATATATATCTAGAGAATACTTTGGGAGGATGCAGGAACATTTAGACATAAGCTAATCAAATCTGTTTGACTGCAGTTCACACGACTTGAAGATGCTAGAAATGCACTGAGTTTGAACGGACAACTTGAGATTGGTGGTCGAATGATAAAGGTGATGCATGTTCATCATGTTTTCATATGCGTGTATTCTCTCCTCCTAATTTTTGGGCAGCATTCTTGATATGTTCATTTTTGTTGCGTTGAATAGCAGTCAAATGCTTATCCCCTATACTATACTGCATTAATTGTGGGAATTTTCTTAGGATTGAGAATTAAGATTTCTTTAATTGAGTGAATGTCAATGTGAGTGGGGAGGGACAGACTTAAAAATGTTCACTTTTAATCTTTTTATGGTAATAGCTCTGAGCATGAACTGTTGTCATTCTTGGATGCTATCAGGGGATATATTATTAGGGGTGGCATGGCATATTGTAATTACTTGGGAAGTTTATAATGGTGGTGTAGTTATAAATAGAGGGAGGTTGGGGGGTGGAGTGGTAATAAACAGAGGGAGTTTGGGGGTGGGCGAATTATTGGGAATTAGCAATCCCAATTTGTTAAAAACTTAAGGGTGGTCGGTAGGAAAAGTATTTTCCATAGTTTTATGTAGGAGAGAGATGGTTCCCTCGAGAGGCTATTACCATTGTAATTTCTCTATGATATTGCAATATAATTTTAGTAATATTTTCTTATAATCAGGACATTATCAGAGGCCTTTTACATGCTTCCTAGAACTGTGGGTCTTTCATCGAGGGTTAGATTGGCATCCCATGACAAATAGACTAAGAGAAGGTTTTGGAGGTTCCGATCAGTCTAGAGGAGATAACAAGAATGGTATTCAGTTTCAAGGGTTGCAAGGCGCTTGTTGCTCAAGGTCTCGACTCTTCAACGAGTTCTTGGAAATGGGCATAATTAATGCTTTGATGATTGAGTACTTATGTCTTCTCTCCAAAAAGATAAATTCATGTAGAATCAAGGGCCTTAGGCCACAAGTTCAATGACCAACTTGAGTAATCATTTCCAAGACTATTGCAGGCAGGATGAGAGCCATAAAGTATATCTTATAATCATAACACTGCTTTGTTGTTGGCAGACAAACTATTGATGAAATTCTTATTGCTAATGAAGCTATTGAGGATGATAGAACTCGTAGACGAAAAGGTTGTATATTTAAAATTGATGTTGGAAATGCATACACATGATCATGTGGTTTGGGATTTTTTCAACTAGGTTATGTGGAAGACTTCGGGTAAAATGGAGACGTGAGGAGGATGCTTGGGGATTGGGCATCTAGGTTAATATTTCCATCTAGCCAAATGGTTGTCGCACTTCTCTTTAGAGTTTGATGTGTTTGTGGCCTAAAATTGTGGTATGGGTGACATTTTTTTTATAAGATACTTTATTTCATTATCAAAAGGGTGACATTTTAACGGGTGGAAAATTAATGTGGTTGTCCATGATGCAGTCAGGAACGGTTAAAGAGCTAATTCTCAGTGTCTGTTTCCCTTGTTTCTTCACTTTCCTCAATTTCCCAATTGGGCAAAAGAGTGAAATATTCTGTTTCCTCTTTGTCATTCAAGAGGTTAGCTTGTACTCATGTTCAAGATTGGCTTGTTTGGCCTCTCAAGTCATGTGACTCCTTTTTGGTAAAATCCCAAACAAGATTTACATTTTTTTTCCCTCTTGATTGTTGTGTTTGGGAGAATTAATACCATAAATTTGATCGAGAGAGTCGTTCTCTTCTTTGGCTTCATTGTTGTGTTCTTGTTAAACAGGCCTGCCGGGTTTTAGGTTGCATTTTCTCGAGATGTCATTTTGTCGAGATCTGGTTTAAGTTTTTCTAGGTTTTCTGGGTGCTGTGAGCTCTGGGTCAGTGCTGACATGCAACGTTGGAGGAGGTTATCTTAAAACCCCCTTTTTGAGATCATTTTGATTGGATTTTGCGATCTTATGGAATATTTGGTTAGAAAGTAGCAAGAGTGCAAGAGGATTTGACCCCGGTCCTGTTGGGCTTGGGATCTCTAGGTCATATTTGCTTAGAGGTCTCAGGTTTGAATCTTTAGGTGAGTTTAATACAAAAGAAAACTCTGGATGTCCCTCGGGATCAGGCCTTGGGGTGGGCGCGGGTGCTCTAGGTATAGGGGACCAAAGCTCCTACTCCCGATTATTAAGAAGGTTTTGAGGAGACTCTTAGTAGAAATTTGGAGTTCAGCTCACCTCATTATTGTTTTTTTACCTTTTAAATTTTTTTAATGTGGAATAGTTGATGATCAGCTAAGCAAAGGGTTTACAACATAACAATTAACAAATATTGTAGATCATCTGAACCAGCAACATGGGTATTTTTTTTTGGTGTGGGCTTTAGGTTTGATTACAGACAAGCTGCACATGGAGAACAACATAGAGTATTCTAAATTATAATACAAGAAATAATATTGTTTGAAAGGGAAGTGGGAATTAACAGAGAAACGACTCAAAACTAGTAATAATGTGACGAGATTATTTCACTGAGTGCTCTATTCATATAGTATGGTAGTACGACTAATCAACTACAGTCGATTTTCTGGCTGGAATGATATCTCGACTTTTCATTGTCTCCTTATACAGGTGTCTACAGTCACAGATCAACCTGGAATGCAAGATATTGGAGCAAATACTGGAGACCTTGATGATGAAGATGGAGGTGGCTTGGTAAAGGAGTCTTCTGTCTGTTTCTCTCTGTCTCCCTAATAATACAAATACATGAAGCTAAGTTATTCTGGATAATTAATTAAAAAAAACAAGAAAGTTGAGAAAGAGTAAAATTTATGATTATTTACTCACACTCCAGGCAAGTTGGTAAGATTATCTGAACCATTGCTTCTTTTATTGTTTGGAAGAATACGGTCTTCATATTTATTTCTTTGTTTTTCATTCTTGCTGCACTGGTAGGTTTCTTGAACATGTTTCATCGGCAAGTAACTACCCAGCTATCTGTTTCTCCTTTATTTTCTTTAGTTTTTAATATCATTTATTTTGGTCCGTAGATATTTGAATTTGGTTCATTGTGATATTTGAGATATCACCATTTAGAGAATCAAGATTTGTTTTTCTTCCTAGATATGATTTTTTTTTAACTCAGGAAATATATATTAATCTTAGAGATATAAAATATGTAAGCAAAGATGAAAAAACCTCTTACTAAAAGGAGATGGAAAATTATCTTTTTAAAAAATTGCCCCATTAATGAAGGTGGGAGTAATATCAAAATCTAAGCTTAGATCTTGTTTGATAACTTTTTATTTTTGTTTTCTGTTTTTAAAAATCATGTTTGTTTGCTCACAATTTCCATCATATCTTTTTACCTTTCTTGAAATCATGTTTGAAATTCTTTGCCAAACTTGAAAACAAAAATAAGTTTTTTTGAAAGTTATTATTTTTGTTTTTTAATTTTCAATATTTGACTTCTTTTTGAAAATGTTTTTAAAAAGTAGGTAGCAAAATAAAAAAATACACAAGCGAAAGTAGTGTTTACAAGTTTAATTTTCAAAATTAAAAAACCAAAAACAAAACGGTTATCAATGCGCAACATTTGATGGATCAAATGGTGAGTAAGAATAGAACTTCACTGCCTTCACGTTTTAGTTATTATTGGCTATGGTCAATATCTTTTTACTGTTGAGCGAAAAAACTTTAAACCTACGTTTCTATCATGGATATTTTCTACCTATTTTATATACCCCCATAGAAATTTTTTTGTAAGTTTCTTTTTCGAACTTTAGATTAAGAGTTCTTTGTATATGCTTTAGCTGCCACATTAACAAATGTGTTTCAATTTTCAGTCCTTAAATGCAAGTTCTCGAGCATCTCTGATGCAGAAGCTGGATCGAACTGGCACCGCATCTAGGTTGGTCTCTGTTGTGCTTATAATTGTTTGAAACTTTGTCAGGTTGGTCTCACATCTATTTTTTGTGCAGCATTGCTGGTTCTTTAGGTACACACGTTGTTAATAATACAGGCGCTACTTTGCCGATGGCACCAATCCTTGGAGCTGCATCTATCCCTTCCCTCGTTCCTTCTTTGGCTACCATCCCGGCTTTTCCTGGACTTGGTGCAGGCATTCAGGTTCCCACTGTTACTGCCAATTTACTCGGTGTTGGTGCCCCAAGTGAATGCTTACTATTGAAGAACATGTTTGATCCTACAGCCGAGGTATCCTGCATCATTCAAAAAGGATCTGTTAACTTTTCCTTTTATGATTGAAGTCTAATTAGACCTTATGTTGGGTTGGGCAGTCGGAACCAAATTTTGATCTCGATATCAGAGACGACGTTGAAGAGGAGTGCTCTAGGTTCGGAAAATTGAGACATATACATGTTGACAAGTAAGTTTAGGACTTTACGTTCCTAAAATTGTACAACGTATAGTTTTTAATTCCTCCCCCTTTCCACAAACGTAGTTTGTTTATTTTCTTCTTTATGGACAGGAATAGCGCTGGTTTTGTGTATTTGAGATTTGAAAATTCACAGTCTGCTATGGAGGCTCAACGTGCCCTTAATGGAAGATGGTTTGCTGGGAAAATGATCGGTGCAACTTTCATGGTAAATCTTTGGTTATTGTCATTACCCCATCTCCTAGAACCTAGGTTTGAAATATCAATGTTAGAAATCTCAGTTTTATGATAAAAATAATGTTGATGTCGATTAATATTTTTGGAAAAATTATAAAAATAGAAAAGAACATAAACTATTTAAATTAATAAATAAGCATTTTACCATTTTTAATGATGGTTTGTTGATATTTTCTAGTACTTCATGAATTTTTTTATGATATAATGGAAATATGGATTCACCCCTTGTGTCGATGTCAAATTTATGGAGATGTCGAATTTATGGACATGTTGATGGAAATTTAGTACAATGAGTAGAAATGTCACTGACTTTCTATGTAATTTCTTTCATATTTTCAGGACATTCCTAGCTATGAAGCAAAATTTCCAGACAGTAGATAGGACTCGGGATTTCTTTTGTTTGAATGCTCTACACTGGAATAGTTACTTGCCTGTTAGATCCATCATACGATTAATTTACAAGGCTTAAGGTCGTCTGGGACAGAAGATGATTTGTATGTTGAGCCAAGGTACACAATTTACGATATACGATGGCCTCACGAACGAAGACATTGAAAACATGTAGCATCCCCCAAATAGGATCCCATGTTCCCTATTGAAAAGTTGATTGTAGTGTAGCTGAGTTATGGCCCTTTTGTATGTTCTACTAGGAGTTCATATTTAATCATGATTTGACCTAGGAAATCCGGTGCCCATTCGTCGACATGCTTGATTTACATCTTAAAACATCCGATGAGGTTCGCAATGTCGTAGATACCGTTAATGTTATAGATATTGTTTTATTCTCGGTCTCGGGTTGATTGTGGAACAGATTAGTTTTCAAACTTGATGTTCTGAATATGTTGTCTTTTTTGCTATATGGAATTGAACTTGCAGTCCAAGCATCAGATCTACAAGAATCTTGCCTTTGCAATGGCCATCGTCAAATGGTTTGTCATTTTATATACAAAAGAATGTTTATTATAAAATATTTATGCTTTAAAAATATGGATAGAACATAGATGTCATGCATGTGCTATGCATCTTTCAAATTTGTATAAAAATATTCTTATTTTTGCCCAAAAGATGGAAGGATCGTATGCATCTTCAAATTTGAATTCTCTTACCGATTTGATTTATTGGAGAAGAATCAAATTTGAATTGAATAGAACACAAAAAAAGAAAAAAAAAGTTAAATTATAAGTTTGGTGATTGTGTCTATTTAATTTTTGGTCTTTTAAGATTGTTTGGTGACATTTTTGTTTCTTGTTTTTTTCGTTAATTTTTTAGAAAAATAAGTGAGTGATAATTGTTCTTATTTTTCGTTTCTTAGTTTTTAGAAATGTTATTTCTGGTTCTATTTTTTTTAACATAGAGAAAAATATTATTATATCATATTTTATTTTTAAAAAGAACAATAAACATAAGAAAAATGAATTTCATATAAAACTTTTATGTTTTTTAATCAAAGATTTTAGAGCATAACAAACAAGAAAGAGTTTACTAAAATATGTTTCATTTTTTTTACAATAAAAAAGAAAAAAAAAAGAAATGGTCATAAAAAATACTTCTATTTTTTAAAAAGATGAAATGAAAAATGAGAAATCAAATACACTTCTATTTTTTTCTTCAATATAAAAGATGAAATGAAAAATGAGAAATAGGAATAGTAATGTTACCAAATGAGTAACTTTTCGGGTGGTGTCTATTTGATTTGATATATGTTGTTGATTCAATTTGGTTTTGTACACTTTTACGTTATTATAATATGTGTTATCTTGTTATTATAAAATTTTGTGTAACATTTTTTCATCATTTCTTGAAGCCAATGAATATCAATTATATTGGTTGATGGGATTGATTAAAGTTGAGGGAAACAAAGTTCAAATGGAAAAGAAATCATTTCCATTTGGCTGATGTTCAATCAACCTACTCTTGTCGCATTAAATTATTTAAACTTTTTTATAAAAAAAAGAAAAAAAAAAAGAACTTGCTTTTTTGGTAACGAGGATCCCACCCAGCAACCAAATCAATGGTTTAGCACTATTCAATAAGATATACGTCCCAATTCAAAGCAGATTTTCAATGAATTTGGCATAATTTATAAAATTACATTTTATGTTAAAAAATTATTTGGTCTTTCATTCATTTTGACATTTTGTATTTTTAAAAGTGGATTTTTTGTCTCTATAKGTTAGTTTTACATTTTCAAAATATTTGTTTTGGTTTCGTGTACTATTAAAAAGTGACTAGTTTGGTTATGATTTTCAAACTTTTAACACAAATTCTACCTACAATGAAACTATTTAATATAAATTCACGATTACATTTCAATAAATATATTGAATGTAGTATAGTGTTGAAATTATGAAAGAAACATGAGATTAAAAATAAAATTAAAGGATGGATATGCATTTTTTTAAAGTGCATAACAGAGATCAAAATAATATTTTATTATCATTTATATTATATTCTTTGGTTAAAGTTACCAAACATTATTTTACTACTAATTAAAAATAATGAATTATCATTTATTAATGTTCTTTGGTCAAAGTTACCAAACGTTATTTTACTACTAATTAAAAATAATGAAAACTTGGCGTTATTTGTATTCATGGGGTTCTAGAAACTCAACGCTCATTCGTCACTCAAGATTGGACTCTCACGCTGTGTTTGCCTCATTTACAAACAATTTGTTAAATAGAATTTTCCATTCCAGAGATTCGAACTATAATTTTTTATTAGAAATGGACGTCTTAATCCGTTGAACTATATTTAGATTGACAAAACATAAAATAGAAAGGGTGCAATACGAAGACTTTTCAAGTGGTTACTCAATTATTATCGTCCAAACATACTTAACTGCAGAGTTTTGATGAGATTTGATACATTAGTGCTATAGAAAAAATGTTTTTAAGAAGTTTTTTTTCTTGCAATAAAGTAGGTTAGCCGCTCTTCAAGAGATAAATTTGAAGTTAAAAAATGACAGAAATGTTTTTTTCAAAGATAAAAAAATAAAAAAGAAAAATTACACAAATGTAAAAATCCATATATTGGTGATATATTTAATATTTTATATTGGTAAATTAATGATAAGACTTTATTACGTAAATATTATATTAATGATATTAATCAATGATAGAATAATGGTTTACAAGTGATATATCAGGGAAAAAAAATATCATATTTACAAATTATTTATTCTGTTTGACAAATTTTGACAACTAGTTTTATCATGTATTATAATTACAAGAATCTTAAAACTCTTTGTTAAAAGAGAAAAAGACTTGATTAATGCTTTCCTTTGGATTAAAGAAAATCTATTTTGATCCTTACACTTTTAAATTTGCTTCCTCTTGTATTAAATTTAGTTCATTTCAATCGTTTTACTTCTAAAATATGCATTTTGGTCAACGTAATTTTAAAAAGCAACCATTTTGATCTATATTTGCAAAATTTTAATACAAATTCTGTATACAACGAAAATATTTTAATATAAAGTCATAACTTCATTTAAAAAATGTATTGAACATAATGTTGTATTGAGATTGTGATAGAAAAAAATAAGATAAGAAATAAAATGAAAAAACAAAATTATCACATTTTAAGAGTATATGAAAAAAAATTTGAAAATAAAAAGACTAAAATAACCAAAAATTGAGAGTACAAATATCAAAATGAATATTTTAAAAGCAAAGAAACCAAAATAAATTAAAACTAAAACTAAAACGACCAAAATAGTATTTAACATTTTCTTTATCACATTTGCACCGAGGTTTTAAACGTAGATGGAAATGTCGAGGAAAATATGGATAAAAATATCTCTATGAAACGTATGAATATTTTATTTCTAAAAAAGTTCTTAACTATATTCATGTTTGAATAAATTAGAAAATTATACTATCGATGATCGACGTCGAATTCGTGGACATTTATGAAGATGTCCACAGGTTTGATTGATATTTAATATCCGATTTGTAAGGGGAAAAATACACCTGCCCCATAACACTAACACCTGTTCAGCTCGAACAATCATGGAAGGTGGCTGCGAGATAAAATAATGGTCGCCATTGGAGGGCGCAGAGACCATTTTTCAAATACCAAGATTCCCAAATGATGACCTCGTTGTTTCCCATTAACCCAATCCCCACAAATTTGCTTTGACTTGCTTACCTAATGGATTCCGTCTGCAGAATTTTGGCGCCATTGTTGTTTGTACTATTTATACTCGCCAATTTCTGCCTCTTCTTTCCCCAAAACTCAGTAACGTGGAAGTTCGGAAGCTATGGAGGAGGTGCAAGATGTTGTGATTGTGGGAGCTGGGATCGGAGGTCTCACTACGGCCTTGGGACTTCACAGGTGAACTCTCTGTAATTTCTGCTTCTGATTGTGAATCCTTGGCTCTTCTACTTTAATGCTTATGATTTCAGTTCTAAACGCGTAGGTTAGGTATTCGAAGCTTGGTTTTGGAGTCGTCGGATAATCTGAGGATCACTGGATTTGCGTTTTCGTTATGGACGAATGGTTGGAAGGCACTGGATGCCATTGGAATTGGCGACTCGCTTCGCCAACTCCATGATCAACTTCACGGGTAATCTTTTAAGATTTGGATTTAGAGACCGAATTTTGCATTCAAGTCTGCTTGCACTCATGGTGTTTGTTCTTATGCCACTTCGAATGAGTTGGAACTATTTTTTACTTCTAATGACTTTCAACTATTTTTGTCTTCACTTGTACTGATTTGAAAGTTGATTTTTCAGACAGTAAATGTACTTTGGTTCATAGCTTTCGGTAAATGTGTGCGAGGTCTGAGTCATCTGTTTTTGGGGTTTTGAAATAGTATTGATTGCTATTGATAGCATTACAAGCAATTATATTGATTCTAACAAAATTCCGTTAAAATTTGTTGCATATCATTACCATTCATTGTATATAGTTTTTATTTTGCTAGTTATATACAAAAAATTTACACCTGCAATAACATCAAGGATCATGACTGCCATTTAAAACATTGTTGTTAATTGCCTTTATCAAAATGCAGGATTGTGACTGTGTCAATGATATCGGGGGATAAAACATCAGAGCTGCTGTTTTCGAGTCGAGAAGAATGGTCAGTAAGATATATGACGTTTTTATAGTAAGAAAATAGTACTATTCTTCTGCTGCATTTGGAGTTTTGTTGAGATGTGTGAGCTTGTTTTGATGGGCAGTGGAGTTCATGAAGTTCGTTGTATGAGAAGAAAGTTTTTGCTAGAACATCTGGCCAAGGAACTCCCATGTGGAACCATCAAATTCTCCTCCAAGGTGGTCTCCATTCAGGAGTTTGGTTTGTATAAGCTTGTGCATCTTGTTGATGGAACTTCAATCAAGACCAAAGTAAATTTGTCTCTTGTTTCCTCAGATATGATCTTCTGTATTGATTTTCACCATTTTAATACTGTTGGTTATGATTGAAAAGGTGCTAATAGGATGTGATGGGGTGAAATCAGTGGTGGCAAAATGGCTTGGCTTCAAGGCACCAGCTTTCACGGGGAGGTGTGCTGTAAGAGGTTGTTTAGAACTGAAGTCCAGCCATGGTTTTGATCCGAAGATGATCCAATTTGTCGGCGAAGGAGTTCGAGCTGGTATCATCCCTTGTGACGACAAGACTCTCTATTGGTTTTTCACTTGGACCCCCTCAGAGGAAGGTGAGTTTGTCAGTGTTAAATCACATAATTTCAAAAGTTACCTCGTTTAAGTTGATGAGCTAAAAGTTTAGAGATGAAAATGATGTTTTTAACTTTTAAACTTTCACAATCTCTTGCCATCAAACCATGTTATGTTAAATCACTAATGGACCGAAAACTCAAACTCAACACACTGCATAGGATAAATCTATTCCCAATACTGACAAACATCGACGCCTTGTAATTTTTGATCCTCTTCCCGTCCTGTCTCGTCTCACCTTACAGAGAAGAAAATACTGAAGAATCCAGCAAAACTGAAGCAACTTGTACTGAGCAAGCTTGGAGAGATGCCTGATGTAGCAAGGACAGTGATAGAAGAAACCGAGGTAGCTTGTTTCGAATCAGCAGCATTGAAATACAGACCTCCATGGGAGCTCATGTGGGGCAACATTGTGAAGGGCAATGTGTGTGTGGCTGGTGATGCACTGCACCCAATGACCCCAGATGTAGGGCAAGGCGGGTGCGCTGCTTTAGAAGACGGGGTTGTCTTAGCCAGATGTGTCGCCGAGGCCTTGCTGAAGAAACCCGGCAGTGAGACGGAAGAGAAGGCGGGAAAAGAGCGGGTCGAGATGGGGCTGAGGAAGTATGCGGCGGAGAGGAAATGGAGGGGCATTGAGCTGATCAGCACAGCTTATATGGTGGGGAAGATGCAACAGAGCAGTGGGGTATTTGCCAAGTTTGTGAGGGATAAGATTTTGTCTCGTTTTCTTGTTGGCCTCCTGCTGAGAAGAGCAAATTTTGACTGTGGGAAACTGGACCCTTCTTTGTAGCCAAACCTCATTTTCACTGATCCTCTGTTCTTGTGAAATTGTAGCCTCTCGGTAAAAGTTTGAAATTGAATAAAACAATTTGCTTGTGTGCAAATATGTAGAGAGAGAGAGAGAGAGCAACCTCATTGATCCTCTTTCTTATAAATTTGTAGCCTCTTAGAAATTTGAATAAAATAAAGTCAGATTCTATTTCATCCAGAACTGTCTAATAGATAACTAAGTTTGTAATGTTATATCATTTAAATTTCAATTTGTGACTAATAAATTTGTTAATTTAAAGAAATGTCTAATAAGTCCTTCTGACAAAGAAGTTGGTAGTTTGAAAGTGGGGACTGAGGGTCAATATAAATATCTAAGTTGATAGTTTTTTTTAGTACAACAGTAGATATCAATTACCGAGCTATGCTCATGTTGGCCTAAATTGGTAGTTAAACAATCTTAGATATTTAGTTAAAATACCGTCACTCTCTCTATAGACCACACCTTCTCTGAAAAGTCTCTTTTTCACCCTCTTAACATGCTCTTCTAGCCAAATTGAGCATAGCGGAACCCCCATCCCTCAATGTTGTACTAAAAAAACATGCTCTTCTAAAAATATTAGTTATTCGTATATGGTACTATAGAAATATGAATACTACTTTCATTCATTGCTGCTTATCATGTGAGCATCATAATATGACGTGGAGTTTATCAATATTAAATCTTTAAGTTATTTATAAGTTTTATGAGCCGGAGTTCTCGACYGGCTGATCTTCATCATCTTCGAACTTGATCTTTGAAGGTGGCCAAAAAACATGTTTTTCGAACTGCCAAATTTGAGTCACCAGTCAAGATTTCTTCCTGATCGTCATGGTGTGGACAAAGGGAATAGGTAGTTCTAGAAAATTTCAATGGTTTTTTGTATTTACGCACCAACTTGAAAGGTAAATAGTGGAACTTCGTTAATACAATCCATAAATGGAATAGCCAATCATTTGGCAGCGAGAGAATTCAGAATTATTTGGTGTTTTCAAGTCCAAAAAGTTTCTCTGCCATGCTCATGCCATAATGGAAGAAACTGTAGAAGATATAGTGATCGTCGGAGCGGGAATCGCCGGCCTCACCACTTCCTTGGCGCTTCACAGATTAGGTTTCAAAAGCTTAGTCTTAGAAACTTCCGATTCTCTGAGGGCCGCCGAATATGCCTTAACGACGTGGAAAAACACTTGGAAGGCTTTGGACGCCTTGGGAATCGCCGATTCCCTCCGCCGCCGCCACGATCGCCTCGCCGGGTAATTCCTGCCCTAATTTCTGAAAGCTTTGGGTTAATTTGAGACTCGATTTTGCTTCATTGGTTGCAGAAACGTGACTCTTTCTCGGCTGCTTCTGGGCTTCAAACTTCGGATTTGCTCTTTAGCGACGAAGGGTGAGATTTATTTATTGATATTTTGTTTTCCAACAAGAAGAACAATCCAACTGCAAGATATAGTAGATTATTGAATATTGAAACATATCATATGGCCTTAGAAATTTGGCGCTGTTTGGAACTTGTTTGTTTGTGGTTTGTAAAGATTTAAGTACGAAATCTCTTTCTACATACTGATTTTGAAAAAGAAAAACAGCTTTGCTACTCTATAAAATGACGTAAAATTAACAAAAGCAATACAACTTTGATGTTCTTACTGAATTTTTGTTCTACAAATCTTGAATTATCTGGTTTTAGAACATTTCAAACAGAAACAGCCCCAGTTACTGAATCTTGAATTGTTGATTGAAATTGAAACCTGTGGGCAGAAGCAGAGACCATGAAGCCAGAACTCTGATGACAAAGTCGTTATTGGAAGCCCTTGCTATGGATCTTCCAAGCGGCACCATTAGATACTCCTCCAAGGTTGTTTCCATTGAAGAATCACAATCAGGCTTTCTTAAGCTGCCGCATCTTGCTGATGGAACATTACTCAAAACCAAGGTAAGTCCTGTGTTTTTACTCACGAGCATGGCCATGGATTTGAGAACAAGTTCATGTGGTTTTTCAGCAAAGGCCTTCGCTTCGGCGTCATGCCGTGTAGTGCCAACACGGTCTATTGGTTTATGACTTGGCGTCCTTCCAAACAAGGTTAGTCCCTCTCACTAAAAGAAATTATTCAACGTGGTCGTTTTACTGATAATTGTTGAATGTAAGTTCAAAATCTACCTGCCTCCTAATGATGGTGAGTGAGATATGAATTAAAAAACTTGCTTTTTTTAGTACAATATGTGAGGTGGGAGATCGAACTCACAAACTCTTAATTGGAGATATATGTCAATTACCGCTGATTATGCTCGCTTTGAAAAAAATATAGCTTTTAAATTGTCCAATACATTTAACACTATAAAATTATCAATCACATTGTTTCAGCATCGTTGAGTAATTTCTCCTCCTACCGGACTACAAATTCACTTTTAGCATTAACGATAGTGAGACAAGTTCATATAGAAATATTGTATTGGAATGATAAACAGAAAATGGCCAACTCTTGTTTGCCCTCACTCTTCTTAGTCACTCTATAACCACTCTATAAAAATCTAACTCAAACTCATGTTTAATGATACATATATCCTCTTGAAATGGGTTCAAACCATGGTGGTCACCTGGTTAGGATTTAATATCCTACGAATTACCATGTCAATCAAATGTAGTAGGTCAGACGGTTAGTCAGTGATTAATCGAGGTGTGCGC